TATGAGTCTGTAGTTTTGAGATGTTCAGGAAAGACTTTTCCTCTGAAAAGGTTCTGGGCATGTTCTGCCGCCCTCAGATGAGAAGTGCCAAGAGAGGCTTGATTTCCACTCTCAAACTTCCTAGCCAGGCAGGGAAAAACTGCTTAATTCAGATGGGTGCTGAGAAGGGAATTGTTCATCTAATATTTTCACATGCGCTACATTAATATATTGTATTTAATTACATTTGAAAAATCGGTTTTAATATGAAAATACTCATTTTGGGGAAAATGCATGCTGCAAGTCTAATAAAATGAATGAATGAACGAAAAGGGTTGAGAGTTGCAATTTAATAATACGGCATCCCAAGGGCCACATATTGCAACTCTTGTTTTAGTCATGTAGGAATGCTTGGGTAACTCCACATTTACTTAGCCTGTTTGTTTTGCAACATGCACTCAGGGGATGCCAGTGAAAGGAGGAGAGGAAGGAGTGCTCTGAATTTGTGACATAAGGATGAGGAGTCAGCTCCAGAGCTATAGAGTTATGCATGGGTGTGAAACAAGAAAGGCAATAAAAGGAACAAGGCCTGCAAAGAGAAATAAATAAAAGACACACTCACTCCCTCCTGCCCTACAAAAACAGGGGCCTTCTGAGAACAGAAATAGGATGGAAATCACTGGGGAGAAAAATGAGATTAATTGCCTAGAGCAGAATGACAGTTCTGGAAGTGAAAAAACAGTGTCCAGATCAGAACAAGAGCGTAATGATTGCCTTCAAAGGAGAAAATAATAACGGAATGACAATTCCCAGCCTGAAATAACTGTCCAGAGAGCAATGAAATTTGAATGATAGCATCCAGAGTGGAATGACAATGGAATGATCATATGCAGAGTGGGGAGCGGGTTCCTACAAGAAGCAGACTGTCAAATAAACAGTGTCAAAGAGCTGAAAGTTAGCATTTGCAATCAGACGACATGGTGGGAATGGTCACAGTGGAATGCCAATCCGGTGCTATTTGGGTTGACATTCCTAGCGCTTCCTTGCCCCAATAGTCGGGTTCTGTTTACCATTGTTGTTTATCTTTGTAGACTGCCCCTTCTTTTTTTTGAAATGTATTAACACAAATTATATAGTATTAAAACAACATATTGGGTAAGACTACAAAAGAACACAACCCCAACTGAAATACAAAATGCAATAATGACAATTAAAATCTATGCCAACACTACAAACTACGGCTGGATCTACAAGGCCAAATAATGCAGTTTGAACTGCATTATATGGTAGTGTCAACCCAGCCTCTATTACAGCATTTCTCAACCTGGGGGTTAGGTCCCCTGGGGGGAGTTGCAAGAGGGTGTCAGAGGGGTTGCCAAAGACCATCAGGAAACACAGTATTTTCTGTTGGCAATGGGGGTTCTGTGTGAGAAATTCGGCCCAATTCTGTTGTTGGTTTGGTTCAGAATGCTCTTTGATTGTAGGTGAACTATAAATCCCAGCAAATCCAACTCCAAAATGTCAAGGTCTATTTTCTCCAAACTCCACTAGTGTTCACATTTGGGCATATTGAGTATTCGTGCCAACTTTGGTACAGATCCGTCATTGTTTGAGTCCACAGTGCTCTCTGGATGTAAGTGAACTACAACTCCCAAACTCAAGGTCAATGCCCACCAAACCCTTCCTTTATTTTCTGTTGGTCATGGCAGTTCTGTGTGCCAAGTTTGGTTCAATTCCATCATTGGTGGAGTTCAGAATACTCTTGGATTGTAGGTTAACGATAAATCTCAGCAACTACAACTTCCAAATGACAAAATCAATCCCACCCCCAACCCCACCAGTATTCAATTTTAGGCATATTGGGTATTTGTGCCAAATTTGGTCCAGTGAATGAAAATAGATTCTGCATATCAGATATTTACAGTACAATTCATAATACTAGCAAAATCAGTTATGAAGTAGCAACAAAAATGGTTGGGGGGGGGGGTCACCACAACATTAGCGATTGTGTTATGGGGTCACGGTATTAGGAAGGTTGAGAAGCACTGCTCTGTTACCATACTGTAAAGTATCCATGTTACATAAAAACACAAAAACCACACATAAAAGAAAGGGAAAGACAAAGGACTTCTAGCTTTCCAGATACAGGCAGTCCCTGAGTTACAAACATCGGACTTACAAACGACTCATAGGTACCAAAAGGAATGAGACCACAGGAATCGAGAGAAATCTACCCCTCAAAAGGGAAATTCATTTCTGAAAGAGTTAGCATAGGGGAAAGATGTCTCCACTGAAGCTTTATCACCAATCCTTGTTCCCACAACAAGCCGCATTTTTCAAAATCCAATTATCACAGGGACTGAAAGTGAGGTGAAATCTTCCAAACAGGAGCACAGACAGCAAAACAAACACCACAGGGGTGTTAATCCTTCTGTGTGCTACCCAAAGCGTGCACACACACACACACATATACTTGACTGGAGTCACAATTTAAAATGTACCTGTCCCAAACAAATTCAACTTAAGAATAAATCTGTAGAAATTCCCTTGTTTATAACTTGGGGACTGACTGTAGTCATACTTCATCTTAAAATATACTTTTAAGAGAACTTCTACATAAAGTTCAATCCCACTCAAATCCTACAATTGATATTTTCCCCCACCGATTTCTCCAAAATGTATTCTCAATCATTATTAAAACTACGTCACAATTTCCCCCTAATCAGAACCGCCAATTTATTCATCTCAGGAAGATCATATATCTCTGCAGACGTCCCAGCTGCAAAAAAATATCCCTTTCTCCCATATTTGAAGAGACGGTGAAAGAAAAAGAAATCTCCCTTTTGCATTTTCCTCTAAAATTATGTCAATTTGCTTTTCTTGGTTTCATATGAGCATTGGGTTCCCAAACTGCAATTTTGCATGTGTATATTTAGCTTTTCCCTTTTTGCTATAACTAGGCAGCCTTCCTGCATAAGAAGTCTCTGTAGAAGTTTAATTTGCAGCCAGTTTAAATGATCTCTTGCCAGATTTATGTTGCTTTGTACACTGAAATATTGGTACACTGAACTGAGCCTGCAGAGAGAAAGCCTGTATTCAACAGCTTGCTTTTGTTTTCTACATTTGATTTCCAGTATAAAGGACAGTGTTGTTTACACCCTCATTTTTGCATTAAGGGAAGTGGGGAAGCTCTAGGAATTCCAGATGCTTCTTTGATCTTTCTATCCAGGGGGTCTGTACTGCACATTCCTGTTTGTTCAAGCTGTTTATCCACCCGTTTGATCTTCTTAAGACTATTTATTTCCAGTAACTATCAGAGAAGCCCATAAAGTATGCAACTGTGATGACATATTGGGACCATTATGGCCTGCCTCAAATCAGTAGTCCATTTATTGCCTTTGCTCCTGTATGTCTGATCATATGGAAATTCAGTCCATATTCCTAACAGTTTGGGGTGTCCAAACAGATACCATGTTTTTAGAAAAACAACTTTAACTTGTTCAGTTCAATGCAAACGATCCAAAATAGCGGTGGACTGTCTAATAATATTGATTGCCAGGAGACAGAGGAGGCCCACTCCCAAGTATAAAGTCATCATTTAATTTTTATAAGAAACCAGCTTGGATACCTGGAGATGCCCAGGTTATTTGAAAAAGGCCTTGTTTGTATTTAGATGTTAGGTAACATCAGTTAGGTAAGTTATAATGCTATTTATTAGGGGGAAAAGTCAGTATTTGCTTTTGTTTTTTATGAATGCTCCCATTAGAAAATGGGTGAAGTACAGTTACAAAAAATCATGGGTCATCCTCCCAAAACTCTGCCATATTCAAAGTTGGCCATGTTGGGTCTGTGTGCCAAGTTTGATCCATTGTTGGCTGGGTTCAGTGCTCTCTGGATAAGGGTGAGCTATAACTCCAGGATTCCAAGTTCAATCATCCCGAAAACTCGCCAGTATTCAAAGTTGGTTATTTTGGGTCTCTGTGATAAGTTTGGTTGAGATTTGTTATCAATGCTGCTCGGAGTGCTCTCTGGAGGCAGGGTGAACTATAACTCCCACCCGGGTGGGTCAGTCCCCCCACAAATCCCTCCAGTATATTCGGTTGGTCACCAGCATTCTGTCTGCCAAGTTTGGTCCAGATCCATCATTGGTGGGCTTCAGAGTGCTGTCGATGCAGGGTGAACTAGAATTCCCATGTGGGTAGGTCCATCCCCCCAGCCCCTCCAGTATGTTCAGTTGGTCACTAGTGTTCTGTGTTCCAAATGTGGTCCAGATCCATTATTGGTGGGGTTCAGAGTGCTCTCTGGATGCAGGATGAACTATAACTCCCACCCGTGTGGGTCAGTCCCTGCACACGTCTCCTGTTCTGTATGTTCTGTTGGTCATCAGGGTTCTGTATGCCAAGTTTGATCCAGATCTGTGATCTGCTGGGTTCAGTGTTTTCTGAATATGGGTGAACTATAACTCCTGGGTGTCAAGGTCAATCACCCCCAAAGTCCATCAGTGTTCTGTTGGTCCAGGGGTTTCTGTGTGCATGGGGCAGATATATGTTCAGTCGGTCACTAGGGTTCTGTGTGCCAAGTTTGGTCCAGATCTCGATAAACAAGTCACTTCTAGGATGCCTCTCAAATGTAGAAATAATGCAGTTTGACACCACTCTTAACTGCCACGGCTCAATGCTAAGGAATCCTGGGAGATGCAGTTTTAGATGATTTTTAGCCTTCTCTATACAAGAGAGCTGGTGCCTCAGCAAACTACAAATCCCAGGATTTCACAGGGCTGAGCCGGGGCAGTGAAAGTGGTCTGGACCTGCCTTGATTCTATAGTACATAGATGCACCCGCTTTCCATTCAAGGCGGGGAAACCCGGGGGCCGGAGGAGCCGGCGCTTCTTGCCGGGCCAGGAAGGGGCCTCTCCTGCTACCTCCGCCTCCGCTTCGGGCTCCGGTTTCCGCGGCAAAGCCCTTCCCGCCGCCTTGGCTCAAGCCCGGCCTCTCGCCGCCACCATGTGACTGCCGAGGGAGGAAGGAAGGGAGCGAGGGGGGAAGGGAGGAGGGAGGGAGAGCCATGGAGAGCGGGGAGCCCGACGGAGGGCCGGAGCAGAGCCGGGGGGCCAAGAAGAGAGCCGCCGGGGAGCGGGAGGAGGAGGAAGAGGAGGAGGAGGAGGAGGAGGAGAGCAGCAGCGATGGCCGCGGGCGGAGAGAGGCCCTCTGGACGCCCGGCAGGGGGCGCCTCAAGCCGGGCCTCGGGTAAGGAAGTAGGAGGAAGGAAAGAAGGAAGGGGAGAGAGAGAGAGAGGACGAGTGAATGGGAGGAAAGGAAAGGAAACGAGAAAACGTGTGGATGGAAGGAAGAGGAAAAAAGATCGAAGGAAAGGAAGGAAGAGAAGAGAAAGAAAGGATCAAAGGAACGAAAAGAGAAGAAATTAAAAGTAAGGAAAGGAGAAAAGGAAAGAAAAAGAGGCAGTGTGGATGGAAGGAAGAGAAAGAAAGGATCCAAGTAATGAAAAGAGAAGGGAGGAAGAAAAAGGGAGGATAGGAAAGAAAAAGAGGAAGCATGGATGGAAGGAGGAAGAGAAAGAAAAAAGATCGAAGGAAAGAAAGGAGGAAAGGATGGAAGGACGTGGATGGATGGAAGGAAGAGAACAGAAAGAAAGGATCAAAGGAAAGGAAGAAGAGAGAAAGAAAAAGTAAGGAAAGGAGAAAAGGAAAGAAAAAGAGGAAGTGTGGATGGAAGGAAAGAAGAGAAAGAGAGGAAGAAAAGAAGGAAAGGAAAGAAAAAGAGGAAGCATGGATGGAAGGAAGGACGGAAGAGGAAAAAAAGAAAGATTGAAGGAAAGAAAGAGAAAGAAAGAAGGAAAGAAAGAAGGAAAGAAAGGTCTTCTCCCTTTACTCAGGCACAGACTGGAGGAATGCATGAGTCTTTAGTCTTTCATTAATGGTGTGAAAGGTGCCTTGAAACCCAAATGTCAATCCTCCCTGAAAAAGGGCACCTACGTTACATCTACACCAGAGCTCTCCAAACTTTTCATGTGGGTGACACACTTTGGAAACAGGGAACATTTCAGGACACGGTAATTCAGTTTGATTAGGAAACCAGAGATTAAACCAACCCATTGTCGGAGATATTGAACCATACTTAAATTGTCATATTAAACAATGCATGGGGTCACAATGTATCTCATGGAGACCTGTGTTAACAATATGATGGTTTGCCCTACAGCATTGGGACATCAAATAGAAACTGCACTCCCACTTGATTCATTCAAAGTGGCCCAGCTGGGCAGATGAAGATAGATAGGCCTTTTCTTGGCCAGTTTGCAGTGGCTTGAATGTTGGACGTGGATTCTGAGAAACCAGGATCCAAATCCTCCTTTCACTATTCAAACCCACTGGGTAGCCACATTGTAGTAAAACGTTACCAAAGGTACTCAATCAAATCTTGTTTACAGTCCAAAAACCTAATTTACTCAGTGGTAAAAGGTGCACAATTGCAAAGAGATTAATACATTGATAAGACTTAATTAACACAAGATAAGGTACTCCACCTGGCCCTCTTTTAACAGCAGTGAACCTGGCTTGTAGTAGTTTTTGTCCCTTGGACAAACCTGTTTGTTTCCTCCGGTTCTAAGAGCATAGCAGCTTTGAAAAGACTGTCTCTTTTGAATGGTTCAAGGCACTCCTTAGACAGATGGAGAGATGTTGGGTTTGCCTGGGGTCCTCTCCTCTCCCCTAAATTCTGTAGTCTAAGGCTGGTTTTTGGATGCCACGTTCCTTTGCCCACCTCTCACTGATTGATGTTTGTTGTCTCCAGGGAACATGACAGATGTGGGCAGTATGTGTTCATTTTCTTTGGTAAACACAACTCATGTTGTACCAGAAACTGATCTGCATTCCTCCAGTAGTTTGTGGTTCTTATCCTTGTGTTGGAAGAAGGAGCTGAAGCTGGAAGACACAGGAAGACACTGGATGTTGCATTTCCAAGCATGTTTGTTCATGTCTCAGATCCCTGTTTCACATTGATTGAGAAGACTCTTTGGGGTATTCAGTCGGTGGCACCCTTTTCATGGATTTTTTTTTGTCAGTCGTACTTTACCATGTTATATTTTTACTACTGGGCAGAGACCATGCCTAAATATCATAAAGATCCGATCTGCTCTTGGAAGCTTTGGTTCGTACTTGGAGGCTACCAATGAATAACATGTACTGTGGGCTATGTTTTAGAGGAAGCAAATGACAAAACGACCTTTGAGTATTCCTTGCCTAAGAAAGCACTATTAATCGATAGGTGAGGGGGACCGACTTCCTAGATTTCCTGCATTTAAATTTAAATAGTTTAAACTTCTAGTCTTTGTTGTGTTAGCTTTTTTGTTTTATTACTTTTTATTATTTTATTACTTTTTTTTTAGTGAGGTAAACTTTATACATTAATAAACATAGATGTTGTCCATTTATGTCAGCCTGGCTATTTTTCTCAGAATGTCTTCCTTAGCCTAAGTCAAGGGATTAGAGCAATAAGGGATTCTTAGTTAGGGATTTCTGACATTTCTTTTCCTATTTTCAGTTCTCATTTTGATATGGAGAGCCAGAGGACGTCTGTTCTCCACAGGGTGGTCAGTTTTGCCCCTGATCCTCTCCCTGGTAAGACTTGGTTTGGGATGGCATCAATTTCTAGTTCCTCAGAAGCAGTTCTGGTTGTCGTCTTGGGATTCCTAGTAGTGACATCTTTCTTCCTCTTTCTTCCTAGCCAGACAGTATGATACGAAGACCAGTGAGCCAATCAGCTTCTACCTCTCAAATTTGGAAGAGCTGCTCGCCTGGAAAACAACCAGTGATGACACTTTCAACGTTGCCACAGAGCCACTGGCTCAGCGCCAGCCTCCCCTTGACAGCCATAGGCCCCGCACGCTGGTGTGCCATGACATGAAGGGCGGCTACCTTGAAGACAGGTTGGAGCAGGGATGAATGCTTAAAAGGGAAAGTTTCCAGACTGGAAATCGTAATTCTTTCTTTGCCCAAAATGCAAGAAATGGAGCAAAATTGTTGTGGTTGCAGACATTTTTCTCCCTACAGTGGTGAGAAAATGGGCAGAGCTGTGTCCATTCTGGCAGTAGCATTCTTTATACAGATTGTGTACCTATTATCCAAAATGCTTTGGACCTGGACTGCTTTGGACTGTGGATGTTTTCAGATTTTGAAGTACAGTAGAGTCTCGCTTATTCAACATAAACGGGCCAGCAGAACATTGGATAAGTGAAAATGTTGGATTATAAGTAGGGATTAAAGAAAAGGCTATTAAACATCAAATGACATTATTATTTTACAAATTAAGCACCAAAACATCATATTTTGCAACAAATCGACAGGAAAAAAAAGTTCAGTACACGGTAGCATTATGTAGTAATTACTATATTTGTGAATTTAGCACCAAAACATCACAATGTATTGAAACAGCTGTGGATCTGGGCAGGAGGCAGACTGCGTTGGATAATACAGAACGTTGGATGAGTGAAGGTTGGATAAGCGAGACTGTACTGTACTTGTATTTAATGAAATACCTAGGAGATTGGATCCAACTCCAAACACAAAAATCATTTATGCTTACTATTCTCCTTATAAACTAGTGTATGACCAATGTCATTATATTTATTACATTAATGCCTGCTCTGTTGGCTTCTTGCATGGCTAGATAAGTGTGGGAGGCCTGAAACTGAGGGTGTGTAAACCTGAGCTTGTGGACACTTCAGGTACCAAAAGAGAACAGGGAAGTAAATCCGGTTTGAGCAGACATCCTGTGGTTAGTACAAAAATCTTTAAGAGGATGTTGTCTGGGCCACCCTAGCTTCAGGGGAAAAAGTGAACCACTTAGCTCCCTTGAATCCCATTCTGGGAAAAGTCAGGATATAAATTCAATAAATATAAAAGTTTGCGTAATTTCCAAAGCTTAGCAGTGTTCGCTTTTTAAAAATACACTTCCTAGAATCTGCCAGTGACCATGCCAGCTTGGGGATTCCGGGACGTTTTGGTCCAGAAAAAAATGTTACATATCCCAATGGTACTGTGGACAGATAATTGGCTGTACCAGAAAGGTCCTTGCTAATTCTTTCCTCATTTTTCTGCCGTCAGATTTATCCAGGGCACAGAGGTAGCTGACCCTTACGTGTTCTACCACTGGCGTTACATTGACATTTTTGTCTACTTCAGTCATCATGCGGTCACGATCCCACCAGTAGTATGGACTAATGCTGCTCACTGCAATGGTGTCCTCATGCTGGGTGAGTTGAAGGGAAAGGTGCCACTCTCAGGAACATCAGATGTTGTGCTATTTTGAGTTTACTGCAGGGCGATGCCTTCCTCTTTCAGAGCCGGAGAGGTTGGGGTTGGAAGGGGCTCTGTGTTGTGATGAGGCTGGGAGTGAATTGTTCCTGCCTTGTTAGTTGCATTCTTGTCCTGTGCTGTAAAATACCTCCTGCTGTCTGCTGTCTGGGACCACCCACCGTCTGGATTCCTGTTAGCCTTTCATAGCATCCCCTTTTTAAGAGATGCTCGCTGTTCTTGCAAACAGCTTTATAACTTTGCTTCACAGGGAGGATAATTTCTGATTCCTCTGACAAGTGAATTTTTGCTCTTGCTGTTGCCATCATATTCTATTTGTAGGCTCCCCATGGGCACCTGGGAAGCGGGGAAGGGAAGGCTGGACTTGATAGACCTTCATGGTCTGATGTGCCATGACTGCTCTTATTTAATGCACATGTCTTAGTGATTCTTCCCTCTGGAGGTTTCCATGGGGCCATAGGGAGCATTTATCTGTCTTCCTTTAAACTAATGCAAAGAGGCTTGGGACAGACCAGGAAATTGAAAAATCCAATAACCCCATGTGTTACCTCTTGTGTGTTTCCTATAGGGACATTCATCACAGAGTGGACCGAGGGTGGGAAGATGTGTGAGTCCTTCCTGGCTGGAGAGAGTGAAGCATACCAGGCCGTGGCCAAGCAGTTGGCTGAGATGGCCCGTTTCTTTTGCTTTGATGGCTGGCTGGTCAACATTGAGAACTCTTTAAGTGTGAGCAGTATTCAACCATCTCCCAGGTTCCCTGCCTTCTCTTCTCCAGGTCTATATACCCCAATAGCAAAGATGACTGGAAATGTTCAATAGATGAGGTGTAGAAAAGAGACAAAGCCTTAGGATGTTGAGATGAGAGGTGATTTGTCCTGGAAATGTTTTTTTTTTTTTTGTGGCCTCTTTAGTTGTTAAAAGAAAAAGAAACAATGCAGAGTTACAATTTTCAAAATCAATTATAGGTTGAGCATCCTGTATCCAGAGTTCCAAAATTTAATATATTGCAAAATTCAAAATGATCTAAATACTGGTGTTTCAACATACACATACTTTGTTTCATACACAAAAGTGCATAACATGACCTTCAGTCTATGTCCATATGGTGTATGAGTAAGGTAAATATTTTCCCTTGACCTTAAGCCTAGTTATGTCTGACTCTGGGGATTTAGTGCTCATCTCCATTTCTAAGCCAAAGAGCCAGCATTGTCCATAGACACCTCCAAGGTCATGTGGCCAGCATCACTACATGGAGTGCCGTTACCTTTCCGCCAAAGCAATACCTAATTATATATTCACATTTGCATGTTTTTGAACTGCTAGGTTGGCAGAAGCTGGGGCTAACAGCAGGAGCTCACTCTGCTCTCTGGATTACAACCACCGACCTTTTGGTCAGCAATTTCGGCAGCTCAGTGGTTTAACCTGCTGTGCCACCAGGGGGCCCCTAAGATGTACTGTATATGGAGCATAAATTAATTTCATGGTTGGACTTGGGTCTCATCTCCAAAATAATAGAATGCTTCTGCTCTCAAGCATTTTGAATAAGAGATGCTTAATTTATGTATGTACATGTATCTTGTATCAAATTTCATATAAATTGTTTCAATTAAAAATACACATTAAGCAAAAGAAACTTGTACAGTTACAACATAATACTTACATTACAATTTTAAAATCAACCTTCAGGGATTCTAAAAAGAGTGTATTGAAAACTGATATCTGGCATCTGATATTTTACCAAATAGAAGATATAGCATTTACTATTTCATTTTTTCAGTGTTAATTAAGATCATCTTTATCATAACAATTCTTTAACAGAGTGGAAACATAGGGGATGTGTTTCCAGACTGAAGTACTTTGAACTGAAAATCCAAGCCAAAGCTGGGATGCAGTTAGGCTTTCTTCAAAATAGAAATATGGCCTCGTGTCAGCATAGCATAATTCAATATGCTTGTTGTTACTGCATATTTTTGTGTACCCTCACACACCTCTATTTCTGATTTCATTCCCTGGCTGTGCACAAGTGGTGTGGTATAACTTGAATAGGAGTGAAACTATATCTAGGAAGTTTCTCAGAAGCCGAATGCAAGATACATTACGTACTTCCTTAAAACAGTACTTCACAGATGAAGAAGGGCTGTTTTTCAGCTCACCTTTATGCAGTATAACAATTCCAATCTGCACTGGGAGCAGTTAGTATACAGTAAAGGGTATTAGTCTATCCAAAGTGATGTGTGTGACAAAATGGTATGATAATGTTTATGCATCCCAGAGGACACTAACTGCCTCTAGCAATGAAAGTCCCCTGTGGATCCGATGTGCAGGAATTCTGTAGTTATGTAACATTTTACAGAAAGTTCCTGTCCTTGCAAAATGTCAGAAAACTGAAATCTTATGGAATCACAAATATCCCACGCATTTAAGGTGCTTTTGGAGTCTCTTATTGTTTTGAGGCTGGGCAGATTCTAACTCAGAGAGGAGGCTGGCTACAGCATCATAGAAATCCTGCCTGCTCATCTCCACCGTCCTGTCACACACAGCACACCTTTTTGTCTATTTGCTGTTCCCCTCATATTCACAACTTACCGATCCATTTTCCTCCAGCTATTACAAAAAAATTAAGGCAACCACACAGTATAGAATTGGAAGGTTTTTGTCTAAGGTCTGTCTGACATTTCTGGTATTTCTTCCTACTAAAGTTGTAGAAGACTCCCACATGGCACATGGGCTATACTGTGCTCTCATAGCCTCAGTTGGGGAGATCTACAGACACAGAAAATGATTGAACAGTTTCTCAAGGATTCAGCCTCTCAACTGACTGTTCAATCCTTACGTGGCAGGTATCAGCAGCCCGGAACCTGCCCCATTTCTTGCGGTATTTGACAGACCAAGTGCACCGACTTGTACCTGGAGGACAGGTCATATGGTATGACAGCATCCTGAGGACTGGGGAGCTCAGGTGGCAGAATGAGCTTAATGGGAACAACAAGTGAGTGGTGTGTAATACATATTTGAAGGTAGATTTTGGTCTGGGGACAACAATGAGTAGAGCACTGCATCCAAATCTAAGACTTACAAGTCTAGGCCTCCCATCTTTGTCCCATTGTATTTTCCTGAAAGATGCTGCTCTGGTATGAAGGGGCCAATTGTCGAATAGGAGAAAATAGTGTGGCCTTAAGCTGGATAGACATGTTCAGATCCCAGTTTTGGTTACATTCCATTTTCTATCCAAACCTCTTCTGCAGTAATGTTGGGATAATGAGTTTCTTTGGATGAAGGGTGAGGTCATGACGAAGGGTTACTCCATCGAGGTTGTCCATTGAGCTTTCCACTATTCCACCAACAAAGCATATGGAAGCGCCCTAGAAAGAACCGTGTATTCTTTTCTCAGTATATCTTCAGTCTGAGTAGAACACGTGGATTATAGTCAGACATTTGGAGAGGTCAGCACACATACTGACTCATCCTATTTGCCTGACCTGCAGGGTATAGCTAGTGAGAAGGGACCATTGAAGCAGTGGACTCTGGAGGTCCTTGGTTAGCAGTGAAACAGAAACTAAGGGTAACACAAACAGCTCCCCACCTAGTTGTTTAGATGGCAATACTCTGTGTGTTATGTGTTTGCAGAGTTTACTTTGATGTTTGTGATGGTTTCTTTACCAACTACAATTGGAAGGAGGAGCATCTTTTGAGGACAAGGGAGCTGGCAGATGACCGTAGGATTGATGTTTACGTTGGGGTGGATGTTTTTGGACGCGGTGATGTTGTGAGTGGCGGCTTTGATACCAACAAGGTAGGTAGGCCTGGGAGTGTGACCACCCCAATCTAAGCTGGATCTTCCTTTGAGGCTAAATGTGAAACTGCACTGTGGCGAGAGTCAGAGCCCCTTTCTAATTAAGGATGCGGGTAAGGTATTAATGTAGGCTGTCTTTCTACATTAGTTCTTTGGAGCTAAGTTTCCTGGGAAGGAGCTGGTGTCCTCAGAGTGGTTTTGATAATCCACTCTCCGCAGAGGACCATCCTCTGGAATTTCATACAAAGGAGAAATGGTGACTCGATGTTCCTTGTGTCCCCACAGTCACTCCGCATGATTCGAGAGCAGGGCCTTTCAGTGGCCATTTTCGCACCTGGCTGGGTATATGAGCATCTGGGCTCAGAAGACTTCCTGAACAACGAGGACAAGTAAGTCCTATGGGAAGGAAGTAGAGGGGCTGTGGTCAGCAGGGAGCATGGAGGGATCCTATTCAGTAAGTAATTCTTGGACTTGGGTGCCAGTTTATGTCTGTCTTGGCTGTTCCCTACCGTTCTGCTTTGGTCAGACATGAAAGGGCTGGGCATACTTAAGCATTTTCTCTTCCACCCTGCACTATGAACAGAAGTTCTTTCTGTGTATCTCTTTTGTTTTTTGTTGTGATGTACCTCTTTGGCATGTGCAGTAGTGCAATAAAGCTGCTCAGTAGCATCTTTTCCTTTTCTTCTAGATTCTGGGCACTGTTATCTGAGCTGCTGCCAGTACATAGTGTTGGCTCACTCCCCTTTTGTACCAACTTCAATCTGGGCATGGGCAAGAGGCATTTTGTCAAGGGGCAGGTAAGAATTCAGGGAGAATGGGCCTGGGGAGGGAGAGTGGTTTTGGTGGGAAGAAATCCATAGGGCAACCATAGGCAGGTCACACACTGCCCAGTTGTTAGGGAACATTACCCTAAAATATAGCAGCGCACCCAAAAACATAAACAGGATACTTAAAGCTGAGCATCAGCTCACTAGCGAGCTAAACGTGAAGTGCATGTGATGTGGTTGTAAAGAAGTAAGAGCTTAGGCAGGCAAAGATGCAGACTCCAATCTTAAGAAATCACAAAAGGTTTATTTACAATTAATAATAAGAACTGACTTCATTTCTTAATGGTAAAAAACTGGATTTGAGCTACTCTAACACCCATCTCTTCTAAGGTTTGGGAGTGTACTGTTTAAGCAATGTGGGAGTCTCTTGGGGTGGATGATGGCAGAGCTATGAGGTGCTCAATGTACAGAATGATGTGCTTGTGTACAACTGTAGCCTGTCTCGGCCTGCTTTACCTCACAGCATTGCTCTGTGGATAAATTGGGGAAGAGGATAACCATGTATGCTGCCTTGACTTTGTTGTTGCAAAGGCAGGATGCAAATTGAATAAATAAAGAAACAGCGCTGACATGTCTTTCTGAAGTGACTCTTTAGCTACCTGTTTTAAATACTTTTTGCTTGACTGATAGGTATCTAAATAGCAGATGACCCTGAAGTCATAATATTGCAGTACTTTATGGGTATCAATTGGGGCTGTATTTCTAATCCAGTGCTGGTGACTGGTCTTAAACTCTTCTTTTTCTAGGCCAGTTGTGAAACAGTCTTTCTTTTGAGAGGGCTGCAAGGGGATCTTTGAGCCTCATGTCCCATTTTAAAATGGTCTCAAACCTCCCCCCCCCCCATAACTTTGAGATGAAGGAGAGAGTAGTAAAGCTTTGTATTCTCCTTTTGCTTTATTGCCTAGTTAATATTTAATCTGAATTTTCCCTCTCCCCAAGTGTTTTTTGCAGGGAAGTGAGTGTGTTGATAGGGTAGCCTGTGCTCTGTTCTTAGCATATAAATAATCCCTTGAGCAGCCGAATGGTGCTTCCAGACTATAAGAAGTTCCTCTCTGTGGCAAGGTGAAAGGAGAACCAGCACATAAGGGCAGGATTTCTTTAGCTGCTAATCTGTTTTCCTTGCCAGCCCTAGTTTTTTTATAGTCTGGATTCCCGTCACGTGTGTGAAAGAAACTCAGTGTGGAAATGGGGGAGTCACAGCAGAACCTTTGCTTTGCATGTAGAAAGCCCCACATTCAGTCCCTGCATCTTCCATTAGAAGCAAGGGGGGAGGGCTTTATGTTCTCAGGAGCCAGGTTTGTGCCCCAGCACTAACAATGGGCTCAAAACAGCAAAATATCAAATGCAACAGCAACCAGGCATTCTCTTCTGATTTTGATTTTGGGTTGAGGAGGACACTGATAGAATCCCCACTCTTGCTGGCCTTTTGGAATGGGACTTTGTGGGGCTTTCTCTTCTTTCTGAAAATGTCCTTGCAGGCCAAATACTGTGCCCTCTCCTGAGTTAGAAGGATTATGTAGCAGGTGATGGAAAAGGCTTTGGCTGAATTTCCTGGTGAGCTGTTACCTGTGACAGGGCAAACATGCTGACTTGGAATAAAACAACACACTGCATAAGCAGTTTTCTTAAAAAATAGGATTGCCAATAACTTAATAGTTTGTGGTGGTTTGCTTTGTGTGCCACTTTAAGAACCCTGGAAAAAGAGGTATAAAAACAATAATCATAAAAATGAGTGCTGGCATCAGGTTTTAGTGCACTTGTGTGGTTTGTGGTTAACAAACGTTATTGAGGACTAAGATGAAAACCTGAGGAAAATTCCTCTCGAGGGGTAAGTGTCAAGCAAGGGCATCCTTGCTCGCAGGTCTTCTTTGGCCAATCCCAGCCCCTGTCAAGTTGTTTGCCACAAAAGCCTGTGCGCACCTGGAAAGGACTGTCCCGCTGTTCCTTGGGATTTGTTTTTAAGGTGGCTGCCTCGATGCCCGGAAGGCATCCTTTTTACAGGTCAGCTGCTCTAAAAATAGGCTAGCCTTTGGAATACGCATTCTCCCTCCTCTGCGAATGGGTCTGCAAGTGCTCGCAGGCTAGGAGGAAAGCTTTGAACTACTTCATAGGAAGGGATAAGCTCATTAATTAGGTCATCAGAGGTTTGGGTTTTTTCTTCCCCTTTGGCCAGGAAGAAACTTTGTAGTGCAAGAAGCTTGATGCTTCCATATGGGAAATAAAATGATTTGCACATGGAGGGGAAATGCAAATGCAGCGTGTGACTGAGTCGATAAAACTGTTCTGAGCAGAGAACAAAGGTAGGTTTGTGTGATTAGGGAAATTCAGGCAGAGGCCTATTTCAGGAAGGTTTCAGAGGCCACCTGCATTGCTGCTGTCTGGACCAGCTCTCTTTTTGACACCAGGAGAGAAGGGCAGAGCCATGGTACAACCTGAGTGCTCAGGAGATCCAGCCAATATACATCAACCAGACCATGCCCAACGGTGCCTGGCTGCGGACCCGGTGCTGCCTGCAAGATGCCTGGTCCGGGGGCAGCTCCCTGCTGCTGGAGGGGACCATCCCAACTGATGTGTATCATGTCACAGCAAGGTGAGTGCCAGCTGAGAGGACAGAAGTTGATTTGCTCACCTGTTAAGAATTCAGAGTAATTTTGAGAATAGAAGCATATGGCCCTGTAAATGCTGTGACTCCCTGTATACCTGATCACAAGCTGTGCAGTCTGGAAATACTGGGATATGCAACCCACTGCCTGTCCCTAAAGAGCAGGGCCATCACAAGGAAGTGGAGAGACAAAGGTATATTTTACTGGAGTCTGGAAGTCTGGAAAAGCATGCCCTGGTCTGCAATCTCCAAAAATGTGAGGAACCAATTGAGTATTGATTACACTGGTCAACACACATTTTGGTGCCTCAGATGTTAGCCCTGGTTCTGGATATATTTGACCAACTGAATCTAAAAATTGTGCCATTTTCCCCTATCAGCTCTCGTTTTAGAGATACAGAACATATGCAATATACCAGTTTTCATCTGCTTTCCCATAAGAAATCATAATAACTATATCTAAGAAACTAGATATCCAATGCAATTTTCTGAATCAGCACCCCAAATAACCTCAGAAGCAGGCCTAAAAACCAAGACAACAATATTATAATGTTAGGAGCTGCAGTGGCACAATGGGTTAAACCCTTCTGCTGGCTAAACTGCTGACCTGAAGGTCGACGGTTTGAATCTACAAGAAGGAGTGAGCTCCCATCTATCAGCCCCATCTTCCCATGCAGGGACACGAGAGAAGCCTCCCACAGGATGGTAAAACATCCAGGTGACCCCTAGGCAGTGTCCCTGCAAATGGCCAATCCTTTCACACGAGAAGTGACCTGCAGTTTCTCAAGTCGCTTCTGAGACGATAAAAAAGGCATAATGTTTGCAGGCATGTTTCTTCCTTAGGTCAAAAACATCTAGCTATTGACAGTATAATCTCTGCATTAATGATGCCGAAGTTATAAAGCAGTTGCAAAGCTTTTGGACTCAGGTTAGGTATTAGTTTTAAACAAAAGTAGCAAGGGGAGGTATTCTTTAGAATTACAGAAGGCATTACAGAATTTAAGCAACCTGCAAATTGCTGTCAATTTGTAGCAACCCTGTTAACATCACAGGGTTTTCACAGGCAAGGAGTATTTGGTTGTGCCAGTTTCTTCCTCTGAAATACAGCCTCCCATCATAGTACCAGGGCTGGCCCTGCTCTGCTTCTAAGATCAGAAGAGATCTGGTGCCTTTAACTCATATTTGTGGGATGAGGGATTGTCAGATTGCTGTACAAATTGACAGCAATTTGCAGGTGTGCATGCACATGTCGAAAGGGGATTCTTGTTGCAAATTTTTGTAATGGTTCCTCTGAAAATGATAATTGGTTTGTCCAGAAAGTATAGAGGCTTTGCTTAAGGAGAAGAAATGTCTTGCATTTTGACTTGCTACATGAATGTTAGAAGGTGGCCTCCTAGATATTGGGGCGCTGGATGGAAAGCAAACTGAGGGGTAGTTTGGGGCTGGCTGTGTGCGCATAACTTTGCTTGCTTGTTTGGGTAAGAGAGGAGGAGGCATAGGGCAGAGAATGCAAAGAAGGGAGGAAGGATGGTCTCTAGGGCACATAGAGTGGGCAGGTTGGGGAGGGGAGGAGGCAAGATTCATATGGTAGCAGCTCCAGCAAGAGGGCAGTGGTAATGGGAAGGGGCTGTGACTCTGTTACAGAGGCAGCCTTGATGGGTCTGGACTTAACCTGGATTTAGGAGTTTTTCCGACATAATAATAATAATAATAATAATAATAATAATAATAATAATAATAATATTTTGTGTCAGGAGCGACTTGAAAAACTGTAAGTTGATTCTGGTGAGAGAATTGACTGTCTGCAAGAACAGTGCCCAGGGGACACCCAGAAATTTTGATGTTTTACCATCCTTGTGGGAGGCTTTTCTCTGAGTTGGCAGAGGGAGCTTATCCGCGCTCTCCCCAGATTCAAACTCAGACCTGTTGCCAGCACAAGGATTTAACCCATTACGCCACTGAGTGCTCTAATAATAATAATAATAATAATAATAATAATAATAATAATAATCGATGTCGCAATCCCATGTGCCAGCACGATTGTAGCGATGTTGCAATCCCAGGTGACAGCAGGATTGCAGAGAAACAACTGGAAAAGCTGACAAATATGAGGATTTAAAAATTGAACTGCAAAGACTATGGCACAAACCAGTAAAGGGGGTCCCAGTGGTGATCGGCACACTGGGTGCATTGCCTAAAGACCTTGGCCTGCACTTACACAATCGGTGCTGACAAAATTACCATCTGCCAGTTGCAGAAGGCCACCTTACTGGGATCTGCACGCATTATTCGCCGATACATCACAGAGTCCTAGACACTTGGGAAGTGTCAGACGTGTGATCCAATTCAACAGCCAGCAGAGTGTCTGCTGTGGACTCATCTTGTGTTTCAAATAATAATAATAATAATAATCATAATAATATAATATTCCACTTTTCTCTCTAAACGGGACCCAAAGTGGCTCACAGCATTTTAAAAACAATACAAATCTTATCCAAGTCCCTACTAGGGGAGCAGCAGAAGCAGTGGATCAAGCACGTACTTTGTGTATTACATACTGGAAGGGAGAGGCTAGAGATATTCATATTTTTTTTACTTTCACAGGGGACATGTACCTCTAACCCAGTGGTTCTCAACCTGGGGTCCCCAGATGTTTTTGGCCTTCAACTCCCAGAAATCCTAACAGCTGGTAAACTGGCTGGGATTTCTGGGAGTTGTAGGCCAAAAACATCTGGGGACCCCAGGTTGAGAACCACTGCTCTAACCCCTATGAATGTGGGTGGATGACTGTATTGTCAATTTAATTATGGTTTTACAAAACAGGAACATTGTTTTATTCCACTGATACGTAGTTACAGATACCTCCTCCTACTCTTCCTTGATGTAACAGGCCACTGTTGCTGTTATTGCCACCTTCCTTCATGAGGTCATATTTATCTTCCGCCAGGTTTACTTCCATGTTATGCCAAATGCATTGTAATGTTGTTGTATTGCTGTGTTCATGAACCTTTTCAAGGTTTTTCATCCTGCCTTTCTTTATTTTTAAAGGGTAAATTGAAATAGTGTGCATTTTTAAAATTAATACCCCACCTTCAGCCCAAGGCATTTCATGAAATGGTCAAATAAAACAAAGAAATAGCCTTCAGGCGGCACTCCTGTGGTGCTTTTGAAGTGCTTCCCAGAGGACAGAGCAGAGCTTGCTTTCTGTTTGGGGCAGAAGGAGGAGGCCTGTCCTGGCTGGCCTTTCTTGGGATGGGCAAGGAAGCCCTTGCTGCCCTGCTCTCAGTGCTCTCGCTCTGGTAACAACAAAGGTGGGGGAGCAATTGGGAGAGGCTTTGGACTCACTCCCCCATTTTGCTGACACGTCTTTGGTATGGGGAAGGAGGGAGACGTTTCCCATTTCTGGGGTTGTTATTAAAACATTTCTAACGCATGCTTTATCACAAGTTCCCCAGGGTTTGCGTATGACCAAAGTAAATATAAATGGGCACAAACAGCCTAAATCAATCATTTAAACAGACTAGAAGTATATTAAGCACACTAACAAGTTGCAGACCAGTACAGATTGGCTAGCAATTCATCTGTAGGTCTTTTCATCACATGACAAAGGTGGTTCAGCCAAGTGTGAGGTTGCTGAGCTTGAAGAGATTGCAGGAAGACCAGCCACCCACACTTCTTTGATCCTCTGTTTGGCATTTGGCCCTCTGGTGGTGCAGCAGGTTAAACTGCTGAGCTGCTGAGCTTGCTGACTGAAAGGTTGGCAGTTTGAATCTGGAGATCAGGGTGAGCTCTCACTGTTAGGCCCAGCTTCTTTCAACCTAACAGTTTGAAAACATGCAAATGTGAGTAGATCAATAGGTACTGCAACTGAAGGAAGGTAACGGTGCTCCATGCAGTCATGCTGGCCACATGACATTGGAGGTGCCTATGGATAGCGCCGGCTCTTTGGCTTAGAAATGGAGATGAGCACCACCACCCAGAGTGGGACATGGCTAGCCTTAATGCCAGGGGAAACCTTTACCTTTTTACTTGGCATCCATTCCTCGTAGTGCCAAATCTAGTTCTGTTTCACTCTATAGACATTGTAGATCAGCTGTCCTTCTAAGCACCTTCCTTTTGCAGGATGTGCTGCCTAGTCATGCCTGGAGTTGGCACTGACTCTGTCCTTTCTCTTTTCCTGTCTGTCTGGTGCTTGGGGGGGGGGGGGTCACCAGGCTCTTTTCATTCCAGGTGCCAGCCCCCCCTCGAGTGTTCCTGCTCTTGATATATAAACAGGCCTCCCGAGCTGTGTCCTTTGTCCCACAATTCACCACACGTCGCCAGTTGACCTCAACCTGCCCTCCCAACCCCAAGCCTCCTTCACCAGGTAAGGCAGCCTAAATCTTGGCCCAAGCCTTGGGGCTTTCCTCTTGGCTGCCAATGAGGGCCCTTGGCGGTTTCCAGGTTCCCTTGAGAAGGCAGGGCTTCTGTGGCTTTCTTTCTTTTCATCACCTGCTTTTCCTAATGACTGCCTCCTTTCCTTCCAGCAGAACCAGAGAGACATAACCCTTCCCCACTCCTCACACCTCCTCCCCACATTGCCCAGTTCCTTAAAGGCTGTGGACAGCATGGGAAACATGGCTGGCAAAGCCGGTGAGTGAATGATGAATGGAAAAATGCTTTGCTTGTTTGCAGCTCCCCAAGGAGGCTCTTGAAAATGTAATATAATGGAAACTGCTTATTTCATCTGTGGGTGCAGCACTTTGCCTCTACCACCCTTCTGCCCAAATTAACACCGGGGATGGGAAACATGGTTCTTGTGATGATGTGGGATTTCACTTCACGTGGTCCAGCAACACTGGTTATGATGGCTATGGCAGCTGGGAGTTACAGTCAAATAGCACCTGGAACTTAGCCTTTCACACATGCGAAGTCTCTGTGATTCTGATCTTATTGTATGTAAAGCGCAAGGCATAAGGACTGTGCTGTATAAATGAACAGTAAGGCCTTATGGGGATGGCCAAATACCTATCTGCAGGCAGCTTTGGATGGCTTTTTTTTTTGTTCTGGCAGTTTACTTTGTCCCACTCCTTAGGTGCTATCAGCTGGAGCTTCAGAACTGTTTTCTGGATGAGCTCTCCATTACGTTGTCCCGTCGACAGCCTGGACAGGATGAGCTGTCCTTTGCCTGCCGCCTGGGAAAGATCTGGGTAAGAAAACAATCCAGGTGAATAGCCTGAAAGGTAGTGAATTGGGATCAATGTAGGGCTACTGCTGTGGTTCAGAAAGGTCATCCAGATCCACTGTTGGCGACTTCATAGGCCTGTCATAGTGTTCCCCAATGACTCAAAAGAAAGGTTTCCCCCTCTTTTTAAAAGAGCTATTACATCATATATCCATTTAGAATCCTCTCCCTTTTAATGAGGCTGATTCATAGAATTGTAGAGTTGGAAGATACCTCAATCCAGTCCAACCCCCTGCCATGCAGAAAAAGCACAATCAAACATCCCAGACAGATGGCCATCTAGCCTCTGTTTAAAAGCCTCCAAAGAAGGAGCTTACACCACATTCTGAGGCAGAGAGTTCCACTGTTGGACAGCTCTTACGTCAGGAAGTTCTTATGTTCAGGTGGAATATCCTATCCTCTATTTTTGAACCTATTGCTCTGAGTCCTAGTCTCCAGGGCAGCAGAAAACAAGAGTTGGGAGTCTTTTTAGCCCTTCCCAAGCCTCACCATAGCTGGCCAGCAGACTTACCTCCTGAGTTGACATCTTCGGTAGCTGCAAAGCCTTGTTTTATTTCCAGCTGAGCAGTCTTCAATTCCTCTTAATTTCTGATCTTGTGATCAGTGCAGTGCTGGTACTGTGAAATATTCCCAATTCTGCAAGCTATTATTCCTGAGACAATTCCCAGATCCAATCTCCCTTTGCCTACCATTTTTTAGCCTTGGTATCCTGTTTTTTTAAACATCCTTTCCTATCGACCTTCCTGCCACCCTTGTGTGGGGTGCTGATCCCCCTCTCTTTAATGCTCCTCCTGTTTTCTCCACAGGTTCTGGATGCTGCAGGCCTGCGCACACTTTCACCCACTGCTCTTGCCAGTCTAGTGTTGCCCATAGATGTTGCCCATGTCCATTGGCACCGGGCTTCTGCTGGTTGGCTCTCCCTCAGTCTCACCTTGCGCTGGATTTACCCTTCGAGTAAGGCCAACCGCTTCCGTGTGCACTACCGGAGTGGAGCATGTGCCAGTGGCCCAGAGCCCCCCCTCATTCTCATTGGGGAGGCCCATGCCCCCCTGTACCGGGTGACTGAGCTAAAAGTACCTGAAGCTCAAGAGTCTTCTTCCTGCCGTTTGGAGTTCCTGGTGGAGCCTGTGCCCAAAAATGGCCTCCAGTTAGATCCTGCTATGTGGGGGAAACTGGCCTTTGTGTACTCTGACCCAAAGTTACCCAGCACTACCAACAGTGACACGTTGTAAACTAATTTATATTTGTTGGATCATGGCAGTCCTGTTTCTAAATAAAGGAGATTCGACTGTAATATTTTTTTTCACTCATTTAAAGTGCAAGAAGTTTGAAAAAAACTTATGTCATTAAGATGGTTGTTCACACACTCAAGCCTGAGAAATGGAGATACCGAAGACCTCTGCAATGATATTCAGTATCCAAAGATAATACAGTATTCAATTTGCTAAACGTTTTGGTGTGACAGCTTTCATAAACTAGGAAAATATATATTTCAGGAAAATACATTGTAACAAAATAAGTTTGCAATGATCCTGATGATAGGGAATCAAGCTGCAAACAGCATTATTAATTCACAAAATTAATTTTGTTGTCATGTTCCTTTAATCTGCAGCATACCATTTCAAGTAGCCTTTAAAAATGTAAAGATAATGATAATGTCACCAATAGTTACACATCAGTATTTTTGAAATGGTGTAAGGATTTCTGCTGATTCCAAAGTCCTACAGTTTGATTTTCTTTACAGATAAATCCTGATGTAAGTAAAATTCCCGTTACCAAGGATTTTGGACAAAATGAGGCAAAATGGAAGGCTGTAGATTTTTTTTAAAAGGATACCAAATTGCAATTCTTTCCCTGAGGAAAGATGTGTTGTTGGAATTATTGTGATTTTGTGAATCAATAGCCAATAAAAATAGTTTGGAAAAATTGGGAGCCTGTGAACATAGCTGTTTCTTCTTGTCCTTGTGAATTGTTCAGCAAATAAGAGGGAAGAACAAAAAAAATGGAGAGCATCCAATGAAACCCACAAAAAAGCCAGATGTGAGATAAGAGATGGCTCATGGATGTTTCTGCGGAGGTGTTCACTCCTATAGGTGGCTCCAGCAGTGATTGCTGGCCCAGGGAAAGCCTCACCCAAGGAAAATGACCTCCGGATTAAGTTTTTTGTGTGTGCAACTTGAGAACTGCAAATCGCTTCTGGTGTGAGAGAATTGGCCGTCTGCAAAGACGTTGCCCAGAGGACACCCAGATGTGTTACCATCCTGCAGGAGGTTTCTCTCATGTCCCCGCATGGAGAGCTGGAGCTGACATATGGGAGCTCACTCTGCTCATCAGATTCGAACCACTGACCTTCAGGTCAGCAGTTTAGTTAGCACAAGGTTTTAACCCATTGTGCCACTGCGGCTCCTAACATTATGCCAATTATTGTTGAATTAAGATAATATTGGTGTCTTTGTTTTTAGGCCTGTTTCTGATGTTATTTGGGGTGGTGATTCAGAAAATAGCATTGGATAGACTACATCAGCTGTAGTTTTTTAGATATAGTTATGATTTCTTATAGGTGAGCAGATGAAGACTGGTATATAGCATATGTTCTGTATCTCTGTATCTCAAAAACTAGAACTGATTGGGGGAAATGGTGCCATTTTTGGAATCAGCTCTTTATATATTGTCCTGATTTTAGATTTTTTAAAAATACTTTTGTTCATTTTCATGGTTTCCTCCTTTCTGTTGCAATTGAAATCAACATTTGAAATTGAAATTGAATTCAATTAAAATTGAAATCAGGACAGTAAATAAAGAGTGACACTCAAAAACGGGGATTCCAGACAAGAATCAATCAGGGCTAACTAACACATCCCGACAAAGGATCCCCCAGGCAGCAACCAGTCAGGCTTTGGAGCTGCAAGGCCATTAAATGCCAATCAAGGTGGCTAATTGCAAACATTCACACTTCCCTCAAATAGACAAGAGTGTTTTCTCCCTGTGAGCAGCTAACTGTAAGTTAGCTTCTCACAAGTGGCGCTGATGTAAGTAGCTGATGCATGAAGTTGTAGCTGGTGCAAGGAGCTGGTGTTGCTGTTTGTGGAAGCTTTCTGTTATTGCAAGGAGCAAGTTGCTACTGCAAGTTGGTGGATCGGGAAGCTGAAGAAAGCTACTGAAAAAGCCAGGAGTGAGTGTTCATCTCACGGCACCAGTCAAGGGCATCGTGGAACTTTAGAAGGAAAGAAGTTGAACGGTTTATGTTTTCCTTCCTTCGTGTTATCAAGAAGAAGACTTCTCAAGGAGAGAGTGTTTGTTTGCTTTTTCATTGTGAGGATAACTGCTGTGAACTGTGTTATATATTTTTGTTATCCTTAAGTGAATTAACTACTTCGAGTTTCTACTTTAAAGCACAGCTTATTCAAGCTTTTTTCCCCTTTGTCAGGACTTGAGTTCAGGGATACGGAGTAAGAAAGGGCTGTTATATCCTTAACAGGATAAGGCAGTGTTTCTCAACCTTACTAATGCCGGGACCCCTTAATACAGTTCCTCGTGGTGGTGACCCCCAACCATAACATTTTTGTTGCTACTTCATAACTGTAATTTTGCTACTGTTATGAATCGTAATGTAAATATCCGATATGCAGGATGTATTTCATTCGCTGAAATAAATTTGGCACAAATACCTGATACTCCCAAATATCAATAGTGGTGGGGTTGTGGGGATATTAATTTTGTCATTTGGGAGTTGTAGTTGCTGGGATTGATAGTTAACCTACAATCAAAGCACATTCTGAACTCTACCAATCATGGAATTGAACCAAACTTGGCACACAGAACTTATATGACCAACAGAAAATACTGGAAGGGGTAGGGGTTCACCCCCCCCCCAATTTTTAAGGTTAAAAAAACCTGGTTTGCTCATGAATTTAACTGGTTAACCAAATCCCCATGCTAAGTCTATGAGACGCAAAAAATTAAGAGTCCCTCCAGAACTGCAAGCACTATCTCAAGCAAATATTGACAATTTATTCACACTGTCATTACTTGCAGCAATAGCCGATGTAGTGAAGCAACCAATTTGGGGGGTGGGGGAGTGTTGAATGCTCTCATTAAGGAGGCCAGAATTGGTGGAGGTGGTTGACAGGGGCAGAGCTGCAGGCTATGGAAGGTTGCTCTGCCCCCTGCTGTGCTCTTTGCTTCAACGTGAGCTAGGAGGCAGGTTTCAACACCTTCCCGCAAAATTTTCAAAACCCCTCCCTAATTTTCTTTCTGGCTACGGCCCTGGTGGGCATTGACCTTGAGTTTTGGAGTTGTAGTCCACCTACATCCAGAGAGCACTGTGGACTCAAACAATAATGGATCTGGACCAAACTTGGCATGAATACTCAATATGCCCAAATGTGAACACTGGTAGAGTTTGGGGAAAATAGACCTTGACATTTATGAGTTGTAGTTGCTGGGATTTATAGTTCACCTACAATCAAAGAGAATTCTGAACCCCGCGAATGATAGAATTTAGCCACAGAACTCCCATTACCAACAGAAAATACTGTGTTTTCTGATGGTCTTTGGTGACCCCTTTGACACCCCCTCATGACTCCCCCCAAGGGTCCCGACCTCCAGGTTGAGAAACACTGGGATAAGGGCTAACAATCTTCCGCACTCTGCAAATCAAACTATGGGCTTGCTACTAACCGTGGTTTGACGCTCCCGGCGTAATTCTGATAGGACAGGCCAAAGATTGGGGGAGAAGGATCGGGGGGAGGACGAGGCAATCACCACATGTCTTGTTTTCCTTCTGCACAAGGATGGACTGAGCAGCCCCACCCTTATGCCAGGAGGACAACCTGAAGATGACCTAGAATCATAGAATCATAGAGTTGGAAGAGACCTCATGGGCCATCCAGTCCAACCCCTTGCCCCACTCTCTCCTGGCCCCACCCTCTCACAGGCCTTCTCCCTCCTGGCAAGGCCCTCTCTGTCAGGCCCACAATGTGGCCCCGAGGCAAAAAGGTTTGCCCGTGTCTAGTCTAATACCATTGCAGCAGACAATGAATTCAATGCTACAAACTGGAAAGATCCCTGACAGTTGGGGAAAGGGTCATTTAGCTTCGATACTTAAAGAAAACCAGGATTTGACTTTGAGAAAAGAAATTCCTACAGACCAATATAATTGTTGAATAATAATGACTACGAGCTATTGTGCTGACTTTGGCAAACAAACTGAAAATGTTTCTCTGTGTTTTTCTTAGTGAAGCTCAATGGATTTTTACCTAAAACTTAACAGAGAGATCACATTAGAACTGTATTAAATATATAGGAATATTTAGAATGATAGGAGGAGACAGGTGCGGCTCAACCCATTACTCAAAGTAAGCATTTGCAGTATAGTTCATTTTGCCCAGGGGCGTTCTTGAGGCGCTCTTGGGGGAAAATAGACCTTGACATATGTGATTTGTAGTTACTGGGATGTATAGTTCATCTACAATCAAAGAGCATTCTGAACTCCACCAATGATGGAATTGAACCAAATATGGCACACAGAATTCCCACGACGAACAGAAAATATATATCAGTGATTGGTTGGGGGGGGGGGGGGGGTGGCAAAATACTGTTTGCTTACCGTTGAAAATTACCTAGGGCCACCTCTGGGAGGAGAAATAGGCCACATGGATTTTTGGGATGCAAAAAGGCCTTTGACAATTTAGACCAGATTTCTCTTTCAGAGCGCTGAAAGAGATGTCATCTGGAGACATCTTTATGACAGGAATTAGTTCACTTTATTCTACACAGACAGAATGAATAATAATTAACAGAGAGCTGTCTAATCCGTGTGAGATACAAAAAGGAACAGGACAAGAATGTCCATTATCACCATAGTTGTTTATCTTAGCACTTGAATAGGTTTTGAAGAGATATATCAGACAAAATGAACAAATTACAGGTATAAAGGTTTTTAAAAAGAATCATACGTATTAAGAGCATTTGCGGATGAGTTGGTAATTATTTGGACAAATCTACACAAGAATATAGAAAGATTGATGTTAATGCGAATGTTAAAAGAATTGGGGGATTTGGGAAGTTTCAAAATGGCTAAACAAAAGGCAGTAATATTGACCAAAAAATGAAGGCAAAAGATCAAATAGAATTGATGGGAAAATGAATATAGATATAAAAGGAAGGTGAAATATCTAGGTATTATAATGAACAATTCACTTTGTATTATTTCAACATAATTATGTTAAGACATGGGAAAGCAAATGCAGAGAGGAGGGGATCTACATTTCATTTCTGTTGGTAAGACTCCCA